AAGAAACGTTCAAGTCACACTATCATTAATTCATACACTCTGTGACCATAGGTGAGTTATTTAACTTTTCTATGTCTTAGCTCCTCATCTATAAAAGGGATAGTAATTAGGAGAATCAAAGGCTTAAATGTATGATGGTTAGACTATGATACTTCAATTTAGTACATACTCAATAAATGTTAATTATTTTTGATGATACTTTAAAATATGAATCTATTACTAATACATGAATTTTGTGAGAATTTTGTGATAGTGGAACAAAATTTAATGCTTTTATTTTTAAAGTATTAAGTAATCTCAAAGAATAATACAAGTACATATATGTGAATTTTCTAAGATGAGGAGGTCCACGCGTGCGTTATGTAAAAGCATCCTTGGTCTTATGAATGGATAGTTTTCTTCACTCAGAATTGTACTAGTCAACCTCCTGTTACAGACACCTGAGATAATCACCGTACAAAGAGAAAAGGTTTCACTTTTGTCTCCCAGTCTGGAGGTTCCCATGGGTGACTCTGGGCCGGTAGCAGCTCATGGTGGGGGTATATGGCAGAACGACTGTTCACCTCAGGTGCTGGGACACGGAAAGAGAAGGAGGAGGAGTAACGAGAAGACCTCTCATCAGGCTCCATCTCTTCAAGTATACACTACCCCTGCATAGCACCCACTGGGGAGTGTGCCTCTGACAGAGAGACTGCCACAAGCCATCGCAGATCCAAACAGCTCAGCAGGGCTTATGAGCAGCTACCATTCATGGATGCATTTTTGGCCTTATCTTAGAGAAATGACTTCCTCAGCTGTTGAGGCTTGAGCTTACCACAGTATGGCTTGTTCTTCAGAAAATCGTCATCCACAGGTTTTTTTGTCTTCTATTTTTTAATTTTTATCTTCAGGAGGCCCTGCATCTGACTAGTGGCATCCAGGCTGTGTATTATGTTAGCACCCTGTCTTTGGGACATGCCCGGGGTGTTCAGTAGCCTTCCTGGACTCCCCTGGCAGCTGCCTGTTTCTGTGTTCCCTGAGTACTGAGGGGTAGCCCTGTCTCCACATCACCAAAAGTCTTTGGGAAGAACCACTAACTTGGGAATGTTATGTTTTTCTTCATTCTATTCCGGGAAGAGTCTAATAATAATAAATAAGACAAGACCCAAAATGTTATACTTTGTAAATTTTGCTTCTCTGTGTTTAGCATCTTTTTCCATTTGGAAAATCCAAAATTTTTTCTTTTGTTGCTGCTTAGGAATAATAGAATGTCTATGATAATCCAGTGCATTTTAAGGATAATATTCTGCTTCGGGCTTAACTGATGTAGGGATTGGAGGAATCAAGAAACTCTTCAGTCCCCACCATCTCAGGCTGTGGAGAGAAGTTTGTCTAGATGGAGCTTCAGAATTTTTTGCTCTTAACCCCCTTGGGAACCAAGGCACAAGTTGAGTGGTAATCAAAGACTAATAAAGTACACCAGTAAAATCTCTCCAGTGAGGGACACATCAAGTGTTGCTGTCAACCTTACCTACCAAGATGCCTAGTTCTTCCTCTTAAGAGATAGATGCATATTTTTGTATAGTAATACCATATGGCCATGCTGTGAGCCATAAGCATCTGCCCACAATATTTGTAAAATTTTTGTAACTTGTAAAACGGAACTTCTACATTTAATTATTTTAATTAATTAATTGTAGTTCAACTCATCAGTAGTTTTAGATTCATATACACCATGGATTATATGTCTTTTTCTTGGGCAGTATATGACATAGCATATTATATTAGCTAGGCATTTAATAATATCTGAAATAATATTTGAGGAAAAAATATTGTTTAATCTTGCTTTTTATTTTATGAAGGATTTGTAGAGGTCCTCTGATTTTAACTTCCATAATCTCTTTATTTTCTAAATTTCAAAATAAGACTACAAAAATAAAGTCACTTGTCTGCTATCTCACAAAGCCGAGCATGGATCAATTACAGAATGTGGACAAAATAATATACTCTGTTCTTACCGCAGCGTTTATTTCTGTGATATAGCCAATTGTTCTTCAATATTAGGATGGTATTTATTGTAGCAGTCACAATACTACTGGACTCATATTATTGGGCCAAAAGATTGTTGCACTTTTAGAAAAGATAATATTTTGAATATCTTTCCTACCTATAATTCTCACATGTACAAACATACAGATGCTTCTAAAATAGATGAAGCATATTTTAAAACACACATATCCTAGCACTGAAGATAAATTTGTCCATGTTTTTAATTTTAAAATTAATTTTATCCTTTAATTTTCATAAAATGTTATTATGGACTTAGTTCTGAAACTCTCCTGATAAGTAGTGTTTTAATTTTAGATGAAGAGTTGCCCTCTTGTCATAAGCATTCTTTAACCCTTCTTACTGCCCCATCCTCTTTGGTGCCTGCTTGGCTTTCATTGGTGGAGCAGAGGCTGTGAATGCACAGAAAGCACACACCGTTGTCTGAGGTGATGCGAGATGGGATCTAGGGCAAGGCTTGCATGGTGAACGCTTTTAAAGGGTGCATTTCTTTGCCTTTATTGGAGAAGATCACATGTAAGCCATATGGGATTCTTAGAAATTACACATATAAACTTATTTTTAAAATTATTACTAACTTGTTTTATTTTCTCTCAGCTTGATCTTACAACTTTTGACTCACACTACATTAGTGAGAACAGACCTAAAATAGAAGTAGAACAGTGCACTATTCTTAGGCAGTTATTTAATTACATGTGTAAGTAATCATTTCTTGTATTTATTTAACAACTTGTAGGCCGTACTCAATAAAAACAAGAAATCACTTAAAAGTAGTATAATAGAAAAAAATTTTAGAGCTTTTGTGGTACTTGCTGGGAAAATAAGAAAATTGGGGAACAAGAAGAGCTATTCAGCTCTTTGTCATAATATCCTTTATAATCTATGATTAAACTAAATACAATCTAAACATTACATTTAGAAGTTCTGGCTTTCAGGGCTTTGAAGTTCCTTAGGAACAGGAAAACAATTAAGTGCAATGGACTACAATTAATGACACATGTGATCCAGGTGAAAATTTTAGTTGTGTCCTTGAGTATCTACAGGTCTCATACTTTTTATCCCAGTAGAACTGTAGGGAGGCCAAGCACAACTGCTTCACACTTCTAAAAATATTGAAATTCACTTAATCACTTTTGACCTTATCTTCTTTGTATTCCTTATTGTGGGAATTTAATAAGAAGTAATAAATTTTCTTTCCACTTAATAGGAAAGGAAATAATAAGCAATGCCTTCAAGGAATTATGGCAGTGCTCAGTCTTTCATCCTCTTCCTCTCTGGGGTACTCTTATTTTCCTGAATTGTGAACGTACGTGGTATGTTGTAAGGCCTTTGGAATATTTTCTCCCAGCAGAGGAGAGAAAGATCCAGACTGCATGATTCTTTGAAAGTCAGAAATTCAGGTTCAGTTTATCAAGTTTTATTATACTCTCACTGCCTCTGTCCCCGTCACATTGGTGGCCTGAGAACTATGTATGATTTTAAGCTTTTATGCAAGCTCACGGCAGAATTTATTAAGTCACACTATGTGCTTATCATACGGCGGGCATTGGGCTTGTGTTATATCATTTAATCTTCCCAGAAATCCCAGTATATTGAGGAGGAAATGGTATTTCTGGCAGTTTAAAAGCTTCCTTAAGGGTCCCCACAGCTGGTCGTCAGAGAGTAGGCATTTTTCTCAGATACATCCTGCCCTAATACTACTATTCTTGATCATGGGCTTAACCAAGCTTCCATTTTTTTTTTTTTTTTTGGTACTGGGGATCAAACTCGGGACCTTGC